TTGAAATATATTGTTAAATTAACTGTCTATAGTATAAACTTATTTCTAATGATATTTTTAGGATAAGAGGAAAAATAAGGAGGAAAAAACAATAATAATATAATTTAAAATATAAAATTTATTAATATTTTTTTTGGAATACAAAGAGTATGTGTGTAAAATAATAATATAATTAAATTATAAAATTTATTAATATTTTGTAACAGCACGCGCTGTTACTAAGCGTCATGCGGGCTCCACGTGAGCACCCCCCATTTAGGGCCGCATTCCGATCCCCCAACTCGAGGGTAAAAGCTCGAAAAGGGGTAGCTGCCGGGTGGGGTAGCTGCCGGGTAGGGTAGCACCCCAAGTGGGGGTAGCGCGACCGGTATAAAAGCCGGCTCGCGAAACAGATCAAGACCATTCCCCCGAGTACGACTCGGACAAGCCCTCAGGACGCACTCTGAAGCTTCGGTCGTACTTGCTCCCATCCCGATAATCGTTCTAGGAGCAGGGCGTTCTCTGCTTCGGTCGTGTGTTCCCGGCGTTCGACTTCCTATACCTCGTCGTTCTAGGGGCAGGGCGTTCTCTGCCTCGGTCGGGTGTTCCCGGCGTTCGACTTCCGACTTCCCGTCGTTCTAGGGGTAGGGCGTTCTCTGCCTCGGTCGGGTGTTCCCGGCGTTCGACTTCCGATATCCCTCGCACGAGAGAAGTCTCTCACTGTCTTTGGACACAGCGCACCGGCAACCGTCGACGACTCAGCAGGGCTCGGATATACGCAGTATCACTTATTTTTTATTACTTTGCTCCGTACCGTACGAACCGACCGATTTAGAATTAAATAGGATTAATCATGTTCATAATTATTTAAATTGCGGCCAAACGCGCGACACGTTAAATAAACTACGCAGTCTACTCAGTATTAAAATATTTATTTCCGATAGTTGTATCCGATTATACCGTTAAGATATTAGACCGTTACAGAAAAACTCATGTACTCGTTGTTACTATTTTCTTTTATAATTATATTATTAATCCAAATGCTCTATTGAATAAATATTTATTTTTCTTTAAATTATTTTTGTTAATTTGGAGTCTCCCGATAAACCACACGAACGAATTCTGGCAAACCGACGAGTTATTCCGCGTCGTAAGAATCCGCTTCGCTAACTACGCACCGTCGTAATTCCGCATCGAAAAATCCGCATACCGTCGAAATTCCGCATCGTTACGCACCGTCCGTGAGGCGTGAAAATACGCACCGTTACAATTTTTTGGAATACAAAGAGTATGTGTGTGTGTGTGTGTGTGTGTGTGTGTGTGTATGTGTGTAAAATAATATAGAGAAAAGATATAATAATCCGCGAGTCCATCATCTGAAACAGAAAAAATTTTATTAATAATCCGAAAATATTAAGCATGATACTTATTGAATGTAATACTTACGGTTGCACATCATCGTCCGCAGAAAGCGCTCCCGCCGCCGCCTGCAATACTACCGCGGTGCACGCCGCATCACATTCCATCTGCTGGAACTGTGTATTTAAAATTTCCAGCAGACGACACCCGTGAATATTTCTGTTACGAGGCTGTTTAACTCTTATTCATAAACCGAGTAACCGAATATCGGTCGATAGGTGTTTGATAGATCTAGTATAAACTACTGCGGGATAAACAATTCTCATAACAGATATCATAGCGATTCCATAAGATAAAATCTTCGTAAATACTCGAGGGTATCTTACACTCATATAGCGTTTTCGAGTAAACGAGGTTTGAACGACCCAAGATTGGTTAATGACGTCATTGCAACCTCTCCACCAATGAAAGACTTGCATTTATAGTAAAATAGTGATTAATCAACCCTAGATCGTTCAAACCCCGTTTATTCGAAAACGCTAATAGTATAAACTACTGCGGGATAAACAAATCTCATAAGAGATATCATAGCGACTCCATATAATGAGTTTGACACCCATGAAATTCTTCTTTCACAAGGCTGTTTTACACTTATGAAAAGTAAAAGTTAAAAGATGTATGATAAAGACGTTAAAAGACGTTGCATAGATGTTAAATTAATGTATAATATATGTTTAAAAATTGTTTCAACTGAATTTAGAGCCTTTAACGCCTTTCACGATTACGAGGGGGGACGGGAGGTGCTTGAGTCCCTCTCGGACGAGGCTCGACCACAGCTATCGGCTTGTGGTACACTCCGCAATCCTTACACTTCTCGTATTTGGAATTTTTTCTATTCTGATCACGCTCCATTTTCTATACTTTTTTTCTCCACCGCGTGCACACTTTGAACTGATAAATTACTCTCTTCCGCACACCTTATATACAGCTCGACGCAAAAACGTCAATTTCGCTGTAGTAATAAACGTTAAAATACGTTCGATAGATGTTAAAAGTGGTTTAAGTAATGTTGAAAAGATGTACAAAAGATGTACATAAGATGTTCAACAATACGTTAAAGACGTTCGATTGACGTTCAAAGACGTACAATAGACGTTCAAAAACGTACAATAGACGTTTGATAGACGTACGAGAGACGTTCGATAGATGTTCCATAGATGTTCAATAGACGTTCAAAGACGTTCGATAGGTGTTCGATAGGTGTTCGATAGACGTTCTTACAAATAATAATATATTATATCTCATGAGATAGGCGATAGGTCATATTACATGGTGGATTATGTAGCGGGTAAAAGGTGGAATAAAAGTCATACAAGTGTGATATACATCATTTTATTAGCATAAATCATAGTTGTTTTACACGTTTGTTACGCTCAAACCACCATGTGGCGGCTCACCGCCACACCGCTGCACTGACGCGGCATAATACGCCGCGGCGCCGCTACGCGCCGCAGGCCTTCTACCGAGTTATGAGCTTGCGGAGACACCGCCAGGTTGCGCAGGCGGTGAAGAGCTTTCTCGCGATCAAGCTTCGATCGAAGA